GGTCTGAGTTCAAGGATAGATTGTGTCGAAGAACATGTGACGGAAAATTAGGATTGCACCATTTGGTTTGTTTGACCAATCTCTATACTTATTTACATGGTATTTGACCAATCAGATAATTGAACGTCCAAAACCCACAGCTACAAAACTATCATACTTGTGAGAATTCGTCAGACTACCATTAGATTCCAGAGAGGTTTCACCTGAGTTTCTAGACAGCCGCGAGGCTGGCTAGGGTGGAGAAATGGTTTTAGCTAGTATTGTAATTTGTGCTATGCTTGTATACCTGTATTCAGCTATATATATATATATATAGATGAGCGAACGGAAATAATATTTGGAGGGTTATTACAACCCCTCCCGAAATATTTTCTACTTTCACCTCTTATTCTATATCGAAATATTTTCAAAAATTATATATACATAAAATATCGATCACACAAACGTACAAACACCTGAGTATCGGATTTGTTTCATTATAGGTTAAGAATTGAATTATCAAATAAATAGACTAACCTGTTAAATTTACAATAACACAAATTAACAGATGCGTACTGATGATTTTTAAAAAAATCATTCGAGTTAAATATTTTCATAAATAATAAAAGTTTTTTTTTATACATTCTTTTAGGTGAACGTAAATGTTATCTCTATATAGTATTCTTTATAAATTCTACTATTTGGATGTATACAACCCAGTTAGCATTTCCAGATGTCCCACCCAATGTTTGATAATAGCGGGGAAAGACATATAGAAATTATTCAGATCAATTATATTTAATCCTGATCTGACAGCAAGTAATCTATAATAATGATTGAATGACATAAAGTATTCAGCTGTATGTACTACCCACACTAATGTCTGATTGACACAAAGTATGTCAATATCAACATGTTTATGATATTATTAGATGAAATATGATCAATACTCACCTTCATCAATCATGATTAGATGAAATATGATCAATACTCACCTTTAGCAATCATATCTTCTACATCTGACAAACCCAACTCTTTTACACTTTGTAGAAGATACTGACATGAATTGGGACCAGACGTATCAGTTAATATACCAGATAATCTCCACACAACGTAAAAGAGACTATATCTATCTATATACCCGGTAATCTCCTTACTGGTATCATCATCTATCACACTTTTATCTTTCAGTAAGTGCACCAGTGGTCTTAGTTTGTCTGGATGACGAGTTAAAAGAATATCGAAGATCTGTATAATCTTTATCTGATCGTCAACAGATAAATCTGAAATGTAACAAATAGTTGTATAACAATCAGTGTATTTCTATATTATTATGTTACATCTTGATACATTTACTATGATGGATGGAATGAAAGAAAGCAGGGTTTATCTATATTAATGATGATGTTACATTTTGATAAAGTTACTATAATATCAGTATGTTCATATGTATGATAAATGAAATGAAAGCAAATAGGGTTTAACGTCCTACTTGTCTGGGATAATTAACACGTAATACAAAGTATAACTATATCTTCTTTCAATATTCAAATATAAAGTACAACTATATCCTCTTTTAATATTCAAATATAAAGTACAGCTATATCTTCTTTCAATATTCAAGTTATTTGATCTCATTACTACTCACTAATAATAGTATTCTAGAAAGAGGACCAGCCATGTTGTTATATATTTCAAGCCATTCAATTAATATCCGTTTAGCCTTGATTAGCGGGGTTGGGGGCGGGGGGTAATTAAGGGTACAAACCATGACTATTGTGATATATTTTTGAATAAAAATTTAATGGTCGTATTCCAAGCACAAGGCCATTATTTGTTTTGTGTATAATAATTGGATATGGTTGTTCGGATATTTCCTGTTACATATGAAAAAAGATCCTGTACTTATGTAAATATAATAGTGTGGTATAATACAGAGGTGGTGCTTGATGAAACGATAGCCAAGTAAACTTCCGTGTGAAATTATTGGTATTCGGACAATGAATTTGAATTGCATTGTGGATAAGCCTGAACGTATTGGATAGAATAGGACGGTATTGGGTAAATCGTTCTGTCGCATCATTATTGTTAATCTTCTAAGAGTCTTATTGCACAAACATAAAACTGTAGCCTCTATCGCGAGCCAACGACAAATAATACAAGTTTCTTGGTACATTCTTTTAAATGAATAATAAGATTATCTTCATTGAATATTCTTTATAAGCAACACAAAGTAGATAAGGTTTATGGGGGAGGGGGAGTAACCCCGAAACTGAAAGTCGCATATTGCTGAATATCAACTGGGTTCACCCCCCATTACCACAATGCTTCATACAAATCTTGAACGAGATCCATTTAAAACTGTAGCCTACGTCTTACTGCACAACCGCAGCTACACATTCTATTCGCAACCTCAAATCACTATCGTTTCTCCAACCTCACCGACGGGAGGTCGTTATTTTGAAATATACTAACTTCCACGTCAGCGTTCTTTAATTGTTCTTATATGAACATCACATCATACCGAACAACAATACTCTCTCTCCCTCTCTCTCTCTCTCTCTCTCTCTCTCAATAATGATGTACGCGGTGGTATTTGGTAACAATGTATTTAGTATTAGGTAGTATTCGATTAATCTTCTAGGAGTGCTAAGGCACAAACATGAAACTTGAATAAAATATGTTAACACTGTAGTTTCTAATAATGTCTTCAGGACGGGAGGTGTGGGCCACGGAAGGATGATCACGTAAAACCTAATATTCAGAGGGTTAAACGTCTGATGGCCCCAACCCTTCGGTTTTAATTTTTGAGTTAAAAGCCGAAGCCTCTTTGCGTAAAAAAGGTTTATGGTGGAGGGGGTAACCCTGGAACTGATGGTCGCATATTGTTGATTATCAGCTGGGTTCATCCCCCATGACCACAATGCTTCATATAAAATTTGAAAGAAATCCATTGATCACAAGATTGGACAGATCTTAGATTATCTTGTAACGCTTCATCCAGACCAACTAATACCACTGGTACAATTACTGAAATATAAACGTGTTATAGATGATGCTACCAGTGAACTGATTACCTTTCCAATAGATAGAAATGATATCAGGCTGGCGGCACGGACATTATCGAATCGATTAACTTATACTTATGGTCAGGTTTTCGAACCAGAGTTTATACAAAGTCTGAAAGAGTTGTGTTTATCAGATGTAGTAGACATGCTTGATAAAGGTGGGTATTGATCCTAGTTCATCAATTAATATAATAAACATGTTGATATTGACATACTGTGTGTCAATTAGACATTAGTGTGGGTTGTACATATAGCTGAATACCTTAAGTCATTCAATCATTATTATAGATTAATATCTGTCTAATCAGCGCTAAACAAAAAAAATCAGAAAGATAGAGTTGTGCTCTCGGGGTTTAGAGAAACGCACTTAAAGATGGTGGTCCATCTAGTTCGATATTCTGAGAATGCTATGACAGCCACTCGAATGATTTTTTAAAAAATAATCGGTACGCATCTGTTGAAATGCCACCCTAAACTGCGAACGATTTACCTAATAAGTCCTGTTCTACCCATTACGTCCAAGCTTATCCACGATGCAACTTCTGATCATATCAGCTATTCAATATCATTGTCCGAATACCAATAATTTCACACGGAAGTTTACTTGGCTATCGTTTCATCAAGTACCACCTTTTCTCCCGCGGTTTCCGGTCGATTACTGCCGTCCCTAAAACACATAGTCCACTGTCGTCTGAATGGATATGATTCACCCCAGATTAGGAAAAAAACGCACACCACCCCGAACCGCTCGTCGTCACCGATAACAGAGCAGAGTTGCTAAATGGTGTAATTTTATTTCGGAATGGGTAGCAATAACACTCCAAATATTATTGACCTACTACCCATAGGGGCTGAGTTATGGGCTTTTTCAAGGGGATACCAAAATGCCAAAATCGACTTTTTACCTTTTCGCCCTATTTTAGGTGGATTATCACAACGCTCGACCCCTTCCAGAGAGGCGATTTACACCACATTTTCAGGGCAATACCACAGCCCATTTCCCTTCGCTCATCTAAATTTGGACCACCTCGGGCCCATGCTCACAGCAGTCGTACTTTTGCGGTGATCAGTATTAAGTTCACTGGGAGGTACCTGCCCTAGGACCCTCTGCAGGATTCCATAACACTCTGCAAGTCAAGCGGTGGCCATTTTCCGAATAATTCTTGGCTAGTAATTTAATTTTAATCATACAACACTGGTTAATCAAGACTACAAAACATACATGTCATTCAGTTAATTTCCTGTCCCAAAATTATGTCAGGTATTTAGAGCTGGCAAACACGTAACTTTTGAACTCACGCAGACGGCAACTAATCACAAGATTTTACCGCAATCTTGAGATTACAAAATAAAAAAGGACGAAACTACATGAGGTGACTCGTTACAATCAACTAAATTAGAACTGAAATCGCCGAGTTTTAGCCAAAGTTTTGATCAAATTCGAACCAAGTATTTTTTAAAATCGAAAGAATGAAAAGAAAGATTTTTCATGACTTCATTGATAAATACGTGAAATAATATTATTATGTGAATGTCTATTTTATTGGGAGAATTCGAGGCCCCGTGTACACATTGGCGTGCACGTAAAAGATCCCTTTGCAATTGGAATTCGATATAAGAGTAGGCCGTAGTGCCGCTGTCCGGGCAAAATTTCCCTCATAGCACACTGTATGGCGTATGCCCGTCTTCATTAGCCCAGGTTAGGAGCAGAACAGTAGGACGTTAAACTCCATTTCATTTCATTTCATTGGGAGAATGTTTGCTGCCTGCGGTGTACAGAAACTCCATGATTCTTGTGAAAAACCAAGCGATTGTTTGAATTACATGTAATTGAGTTAATTCGAAAAATTAGCATGTAATTGAGTTAATTCGAAAAATTAGCAACATTTCTACTGTAACCGTGATAGTAGCAGTACTAGATAGATCTCCCAATTCTTGCCCTACATAATGCAACTACATGGCTATGTTTATCGTCATCTGTATTAGTAACATACCTGCTCCTTTTTCCACCTTGTCTTTATCTTGATCGTCATCTGTAGGTAATATTGTCCGGTCTTGATCATGATCAAGCCCTTCGTCATCTGTAGGTAATATTGTCATGTCTTTATCTGTAAATAAAAAACAGTTCCAAATATAATTTTTAATGTGTAATTTATATAGCATAGTCAACACTTGATTATAGACTATAGACTGTCGTGTGTATCGGCTTAAAGACTCCCATTAAATCAAGTAGCGCGGATTCGATTCCCCGCTTGTACGCAACAACAAGGAAAATCAGTAGGGCTCATCTGGAATTAAACAAGTCTATTGTATAGTTTTAGGGAACTAGCCCAAATTCGGGATATCGAACACATCGTAAAAGGTCGCTGATAGAGTTCGTTTTTTCCCATGATGACCCTAATGATTCACAATGTACCTTTATCGCACAAACAAGTGAATTGTTGACGGCCAGATGGATTGACGAACATGGGTGATGATATATGTGGGTGTATAACAAATAATAATTTCATGGCACATATAATGTTAATAATACATGTAGAGATACACACAGCAAACAAATAACTATCAATTGGAAACTATATTATTTAAATAATAAACAGCCATGATCAATCACCGACAAATATTCCTATGACAGGTTTATATTTAAAATATACTAAACAGCAAAAGAAACGTCAGGTTGGTATGTTACTCTGAATAGACGCATTGCATAAAACTTGCAAAATGTTTTTATTGTATATTTGTGACCACATCTCCAACTTGACCTTCTCCAGGCTCCTTCCCAAACACAGAATTGAACCCAGGAAATGCTCGCAAAAACGCAACCTGACTTCTGAGATGGTAATGTGTTCTCCTTGGCTTTCATGTAACTCATGCTGCACGTGCTGTTCACCGGAACCAGCCCTATAAAATGCACCCCCATACATAGTTTAATCATTCACACTACAACAACTCAGAGGAAACAGGCGCTTGGAAGACTCGACGCTGGCCACACTGCCCAAACCGTTGTCAATCACATCCAGGTCAATGTTCGGACAATCTACAGGCTTCAGCATCGCTTTCGGGCCACTAACACCGCGGATGATCGCCCCCGATCTGGCAGACAAAGGGTTACGACAAGACCGCCATGTTGTGCCACAGCACGTGTAGAATCCTTTTACACAGGCATCTGAGACAGCACGTCAGGCAGTGGGAACACACGGAAGACCCATCAGTACCGATACAGTGCGCCGACGTCTCACCAGAGAGAACATCCATCGAAGTAGAGGCGAACGTCTACATTGTTCCAAACAACACCAGAACTGGCGACACTGGCAATGGAGAACTATTCTGTTCACAGATGAGAGTCGATATTGCGTATCAACTAAGATGGCAGGACCAGAATATGGCGTCGACGTGACGGGCGTTATTCTGACAACTGTGTCATGGAACGAGACTCTGGGGAGTTTGTGGCGGAATCGGCCTGAACCAGAGGATGGGTGTTCTTAAATCTTGGTCCAGGGAGAGGAGGCGGCATCATAGCAGTGAGCTACATCGATCATGCTCTCAGACCCCACGTCATACCACATCATCGAAACAACGTTTTCCAGCAAGACAACGCCCGTGCCCATACCGTCAGAGGCGACGTAATAGCGTCGTACCGAGACCAAACACAGCCAATGGATTGCGCCAGGCTTTTCTGAGAGTGTGGTTCCAGGTGCCAATGGCGTTAATCAATCGTCTGGTCCACTCCATGTACAGACGCTACGCTGCTGTTATTGCCACTTGCGGTTGACACACCAGATACTGATGTATAGACTGTGTACAGACCCTAAACCTTATCTTAAAGTCTTTTATTTGTGACAAATTACTAATGTGTCAACATACTGTTCACAAAAAACTGCTTTGATCGATTTAGTAAGTCGTTTTCAAGAATGTTTTTGAAATCGTACTGACGTGTTTTTTGTTGTTTAGTATGTAACATACCTGCTCCCCTTTTATTGTTGTCTTTATCTTGATTGTCATCTATAGGTAATGACGTCAGGTCTTTATCGTGATGATTAATCACTGACAAATGTTCTATGGACAGATTTTTTTATTTAATACCTTAATTGTAACATACCTGCTCCCTTTTCATTCTTGTCTTTCTCCTGACTGTCAACTATAGGCACTATTGTCATGTCTGTATCTTTTTCACGTCTTTCGTCATCTGTAGGTAAATCTTCAGGGCCTTTATCTTGATCTAGTCTTTCATCATCTGACCAGTCTTTGTCCACATTGCTCTCTGTTGCCTGCTGATAAAGTTGTTCCTGTAAGCTGCTAATAATTAGTTCTTTATCTTGAAGTGTATCTGTATATTTTTTAGCTAAATCTTCTTTGTATTTTTCCATTTCCTGAGAGTTGGCCGATGTGGCTTTTAGAGCGGCATTTTCCAACAGCAGCTCATTTATCTGTAACTTCAAAGTTTCGATTTCCTTCTCAAGGTCAATAATTCTTCTCTGGGTAATCGATTCCCTTTCGGAAGCGAACTCCTCATCTACAAAACATATATGTTTAAAAGTATGGATTTAGTTATATCAATATCAGTACTGAAAGACATTTTAATTGCTTGCAAACTATAGTTTCCTGAAAGACACAACAATAACATAATTTAGATCTAAGATTAGTAAAGCTAGTTTAAATCTAAATTGTCTGCTACGATGAATCAATGATTGGAATCGGGTTTAACGTCCCGTTTTTCTGCACCAACCGGGATAATATATACGGGCATAGGTCATATAGTATGCTAGGAAGGCAAGTTTTCTCAAACAACATTTGAACTCTAACTGTCAAGGGTTCTTTTACGTATATTAATCCTTCAAAATCTACGTTATGTCGCCTTCACAAGGTTTCCGGAAAATAGGGCATAACTGATGAGCACCAAAATCAAACTCATCCGAGATCTTTTGTACCTGAACATACCTTTCAAAGTTTATCTAAATCGGACAGATATTGTGGTCTTTAAAGGTCCAACAATTTGTACATATTTCACATTTTGCGTAAATTGCGTCGGTCATTACCCAAGAAGTGGCAGTCTGATAAACACCATAAATTAACATGTTAAAGATCTTTTGATCTTTAAAAGACATATTAAGTTTCATCTGGTGGGGTCACAAACTTTATAAATATGTCATCTTTTGTATGAATGCAAGGGTGGGGGACACATTAGCCACGAAGGGAAGGCCAGATGCACGCCACCAGAATCGAACTCCTCCAATATCCTTAGTATGTCTTAAGTGTCACCTGTTATATGTATTAACCTTTTGTCTCACGAAGATATGGTACAACCAAGGGCAATACTCTATGAAGTCAGGATTCAAACCGTGCCAAAAATCGAACCCATCCGAGATCTACGGGATATAAACATGCATTTCCAATTTTACCCAATTTTGACACCCCAAAGGAAAGTCCGGGTAGCGGTGATGACATAACTAGTATACACATGAAAAACTTTAGAGATAATACTACCAAATAGATAAGACAATTAACCAAAATGCACTGCAACATTCATCTCTGTATAGGATGGTGGTGGGCAACCGTTTTGTTGTGATTCGAATTGGTCATAAAATGGTATTTTGCTATATTTTACACCATACTTGTTATCTTAATATAAAGGATAAACCAGTCGATTAACTGTCAATTTCATATTTGCCTGTAAGTGTTTGCGCCAAGGGATTACTGCTGTCACTACCGCTGGCTACAAAGATTTCTATTTTCTGCTGTCTTAGAAAATTATTGTATTGAATCAAGGGATACATTTAATTGACAAATGTCGTAACCTCTTTTAAGTTTAAATGACCCCGAAAATATTTCGTAATGAATTGTCATTATATGGCAATAGAAATCCAGCTAATTGTCAATAATTCTTGATATGACGTGAAAGCGAAACTTTTCCAATTGGTGCCGATGTGCCGATGCCCCCCCCCCCCCCGGCCCATCGAACCACGTCCGATGGTTCAAGGCCTTGTCCACCCCTGATCTAGGACCAATGTGTTTCTAGAATTCACTGCCTGAAAACAGATTGGGGAGAGTGCCGTCGTTGTGTATATGACTATAAGTGTTGCACCTTTTTTTTTTTATCATACTAACCTAAACAATTATTCCTTGGTCTTGAAATCGGCCCTGGAAACCACGTCCGTCCTCGGATTAAACTATGTCTAATGTTATGAATGGAAACGCAAAGCAACAACACATATCGTCAAAATGTATAAATGCAAAACCATGGTACTGGTGCATTTACTGACAAATAACCGTGAATGTCTTTGGATTCTGCTCGGACACAAGTAGGGACAGATGGACAGACCGACGGCCGTAACAAGCGTGATTGAGCGTGATGGTTATTTCCCCTCCCTATTATATGTGTTGGTGGACGGGCGGGGAATATACGAGTGGCATCTGTTTCTCATTTCAAACAATGTTTTTAGAATTTTTTCAATAAACACATTTATTTATTATTGTAGCATAAATCAGACATTTCCCCGATTCTGATTGTCGAAAAGTATGGTCAAATACACAATAAAACCCCCTTTTTTTTTATCGCAAGGAGATAAATATTACAGTGTACGTTTTTTCATGTTTGTGCTCAACGATCTTCCTCAATTCAAATCTTTATAACAAATAGTTTCAAGACGTTCTTGACAAATGACCATTATCTTTAGTCTCGGTTAGCAGGCAGCAATTATTTCAATCACAGCCAAAAACATCACTATAAGACTTTAAAAAATCTTCAAACGTTAAAAAACTATTTAACTGGCGATATCTGAATAACATTTTCATTCATAATTTATTTATAATTATTCAAGCCTGGTTAAATGTACAATAAACCCCTCTTAATTCGAAACAGAAAGTGTTTATCTCCGGAATGAAAGAATTACCTGTTATTTGACGGAAATAAAATTCGTCCGGTTTCACTGGATCAGTATCAATAAAACCAGTTTTTACCAAGTCTTGTAGTGGTCGTCTTAAATCTTCCTCATTATTGGAACCCAGAGATATGAGATGAAATGTTACTTCAACACAGCCTTTCCTGGGTAAAAGAATCAATTCCATATTTATAATAACACCCAACACAACCGTTGTCTTATAATATTGGTATCACCGTGTTGTTCTGTATAAAGATTATGTATTGGTGACGTATTAGAATTATATATAGAAACGTGAGTAGTATACCGGGAACATAGCAAAGCTGATTCATTTGGTGAGATAGATTTAAAACTAGTTATTATTTGAAACACAAGCCCAAACGTAGTCGACCGTCCATAGATTTTGACCAAATGACGAGGCATGGTGTCACAATATTTCAGTTTTAGTATGACAATTAATTTTGATGTTTTAATTATTTGACGTACTGGATTGAAATGTGCTTGCTAAAAGATAATTCAACAAAATAGATAATATTGTTACGGATTCTGTGGAAGAGAAAATGATTTCTTTTTTCTAAAGGTGACGAAGAACAAAGAAAAGTAGACGTTCTATATCGGCGCATCTTAAAGTATAGGTATCTTTAGGTGGTATAGGGCACTATAGGTATCTTTAGATTGTGTAGGGCAGTATTTTTAGGTTATAGAGGACAGTATATTATGTATGGCAGTATAAGTATCCATTTCCTGTAAAATATGTTACCTGGGTTTTTAGAGTTATTAACTTCAAAATATTATGCTTTGTTTTATTGTGTGTCGGAATCATGCCTGTTAACAGTTAATTTGGTAAAGTAGTTTTAACTTACGCTAATTTCTTTACAACCACAAATTTGTGTCCTGGGTGGTCATGATATACACCTCCAATATTCTTTTCACATCTTTTTACAAATTCTCTATATTTAGGACTGGTGTTGTCTATCAATTCATAGAACTTCTGTCCACTGTATTTGATTCTACCCTCACATATTACTAGAATAAAACAGCTTCACATTATTTTAAAATTGCTTCACATTACAAAATTAAGCTTCATGGCTATAGTAAAGAGTGGCGGCACAGATTTTGTAAACGTTAACACTAATATGTACGGCTTAACATTTCACCCAAGTGTACTACCATATAGAGGGCAACGGTTGCTCAGTGAGTATGGTGATGGTTTCAGCGTTGTTCTTAGCACGGAGAGCTTGCCATGAACCGAGAGAGAGAGAGAGAGAGAAATGGGGTTTAACGTCCACTGCGCGTAGGGGTCTTTAGCAGTGGGAGTAAACCAGAGGACCCGGAGAAAACCCACGAGGTTGGACAGGCGACCCTACTCCTTGCCACGTACAACTGGGGATTCGAAACCACGCCAGTTGACTCAATGACAGACTTTATGATACAGCGCGCGCACGCTAACCATTCAGCCATCCACCCCCCCGCCATGAACAGTGTCTAGTCCACATCACACATCAAAATACTTAATGCAGGACTGGGTGCTCGCAAGGACACTAAATAGTCGTTCGGATGGACAGATAAGCCGATACCCCGTGTGTACATTTGCGTGTACGTAAAAGAACCCATGACCGTTGGAATTCGAATTACAAGTAGGCCGTAACTCTTCCGGGCACAATTTGCCTCGCAGCACACTGTGTGATGTATACCCTTAGGTGCAGAAATGAAGGACATTAAACCCCAATACATTTAACCCTAACAAGGTCAATGCATTCAAAATACACAGTCAGATAACTTGTTTTATACGTATCTAGCTATATCAAAAGGGTGGGGTAATGAATAATGATAACCACAGTGTTTACTAATAACGATTAACTCGGGGGGGGGGGGGGCGTGGATGGCCAAATGGTTAGCACGTGCGCGTTGTATCATAAGGTCTGTCATTGGGTCTGCTGGCGTGGTTCGAATTTTGACAAGGATTAGGGTCGCCTGTCCAACCTTGTGGGTTTTCACCGGGTCCTCCGGTTTTCTCCCACTGCTAAAGATCTCTACGCGCAAGCGATGTATTGTAATAAAATTGAACCGTGTGTAAGTCCCGAAATGACCTGGTTTGTGTCGAGTGGACGTTAAACCCTGCATTTATGAATTACAGTTTCCTCATCAATACTGTATTCTTGAATAATAATTAACGCGTTGATACTGCATTTATGAATTATGATTAAGATTACCACGCAAATTCTCTTCGAAGCTACCAAGCTGTCCTTGTGCTTGTTTATATTATACAGGGTGCCCCAGTAAAACGTTACCCTAGCCCTAAATACTGTGGTTACGAATAACCTCTTTCACATCACAATTATAAAACCTGTTTAACTTACCACAATCTGGTTCCAATGTTTTTATAACCCATGTATGTTTACATTTTGCTAGGGCCACTAAAAAGAGAATATATGAATTCGGCCCTTTTCTGTACAATTTCCTCAACATCTCTAACGCACCGTTACTTCTGCCCTTTGCTTGTACATGGTCTAACAAATAGTTAAATTCGTCTTCGTCGAAAACAAATAAAGAATGAAGTTCAATAATAAGTTCTTTGGGATCTATGTTTAACCAAAGGGAGTTCATATGTGTTTGAATTTTCCACCGGTCATTTTCATTCATTCGTTCGTTGCTATAAATCGCAGGTATGATATCTACAATCGATTCCTCCTTACTGGCATCATCTTCGTCTTTGACATCATCATCGTTATCATCTACAAATAAAATTATAAAGAAATATATTATCAGACGTTATTAAAAATGCATTATGTAAGATTTAGATAAAGAACTGACCTTTCTTGCTATAATAATTTAAAAATATATTATGATAAATGAATATATAGAAAATGTCATCAAATTACTTTAATCGGAGTCAAGTTATTAGTGTCTGAAATTTCGATAAGGTGTAGCGTAGATTGTTTATTACCAGAACAACGGTACGTGACAATTTCACCCTTGGGGATGTTCTAATCCATGTATATGGTCTAGCGAGTTGATTATAACCTTATAGTATATTATAAATGTCTATATAATAGTTTATATAACATTTGAAGCCACAATAAAGACATGCAATAGGCAGATTTAGCTCTTACATAATGCATCTCATGTAGGTAAGATTTGTTTTATTTCTCTATTGGACGGGGATGGCAGGCTAACGTGTGCACTGTAGGTTATAATGTCTGTCATTGACTCGAGGGCGCGGTTTCGATTCTACCTTTATTCGTAAAAATGAGGGATGTGGCCTATCCAACCTATGAAATGAAATGGGGTTTAACGTCCTACTGTTCTGCTCCTATGCTGGGCTAATGAAGACGGGCATACGCCATACAGTGTGCTATGAGGGAAATTTTGCCCGGGCTGCGGCACTATCGCCTACTCTTATATCGAATTCCAACTGCCAAGGGATCTTTTACGTGCATTCCAATGTATTCTCGGGACCTTGGTTTCTTTCGTCTCATCCGAAGGACTAGACAGCTGTCCTTGTCAGGCCCTCCGTCCTGTACCACGCCGGAAAATCTGGATGAACTTTCTCGGCCAATGCGGTGATCGAACACCCGACCTCCAGGCTAGCGAGCCAGCGTCTTACCCACTTAACCACACGCGTAAGCGAATTATTGCAATACAATTGAACAATATGTTAGTGATGTAATGACCTAGTTTGTGTCGAGTGAACGTTAAACCACATATAATGAAGTTTGTATATTATTTGCCTTCATGTTTTTTGTATTTCGTCATTTCATGAGCATGCACGGATGCGACTTTCTATTTGAAACTCATTTATTTGAAACCTCATGGTTACGAATTTATTTTACAGGTTCAATAACCCTTTTCCAAGTCATCGATTTCTTTATAAGAAGTTTTAACAAATATTTTTTACAGCAAGAAGGATAAGACCACCGCCATGATAGTCGCATTATTTCAAACACTCTTCTTCAAATGGGTATGGAAGGGGAGAGGGGAGATTTGCTTTAAATAGAGACACTGTATCAAGTTGGAAGCCTTAAGCAACCAGCCATAAGAACAGGGGAAGCAATTACTAGCTTTATTTAATTTTTTAACAGCAAAAAGAGTTAAATCAAACCCAGTTGTGATCTGTCAGAAATACACCTATACATGAACTGAAAATTTCATCAGAATCGGATAAAGTTGCGACCTGTTGACCGTCCACAAACAAACGAACGGACCGACATAGGCAACAACATAATACATCTACATGAAAATATGGGCATATTAAAATCCCCCCATTCGTTCCAGTTGGTCAATTTTATGAAAGAAAAGCTGAAAAGTCAAACATATTAGAAAATGTCGACCATTTTTAAAATGTAAGTGGTTAACGTGAGTTTCGTAATAAATGACCCTAAACGAATACCTTAGCAAATTTCAATGCTTCTTTCCATATATGAAAGATCATTACAGTTCAGGCCCGGAGGGGGAGGGGGCTTAGCAAAAAGTTTCGCCCCCCCCCCCGTGAAGAAATTGTCTACCATAAAAACAATAGATATACATTGTCCGTCAATTTTACAGCACCCCTGAGAACACTTCCCGCCCCCTCCTTGCTCTGAGCTTCTTCCGGCCCTGTTACAGTTATCGGTTACATTAGGATGGATATGAGGGTGTATAGTGTCGTTGTGTAGCGCAATCATTGAAATGGAAGTGACACTTGAACCTAAGTCATAACCAAATTCCCCTAGCAAAGAATTTAAACGGCCACCCAAGCACATTTTGATGAGAAGAATGTCAAATACGACCACCAGTGTGAGTATAAAGTTTGGAACCAACTTCCCAATGCCACATCGCTAATGGTAAATGTCACATTATTAAAGGGAAATGGCTCATGACGATTAAAGGGAATTCCACATGATTAAAGGAAAATGTTACATGATTAAGGGATAATTGCTCACTATTCAAAGACATGTTATATAATTAAAGGAAAATGTCCCATGATTAAAGGAAAATGTCACTTTATTAAAGGAAAATGTCACAAGATTAAATGAAAGTGTCATATTATTAAAGGAAAATGTCACATGATTAAAGGAAAATGTCAGATGATGATTAAAGGTAAATGTTACATGATTAAAGGAAAATGTCGCCTGATTAATGGGAAATGGAATACGATTAAAGGAATATATCATACAATTAATTGATCTGGTGGAATGTAAAACCGTTTAAGAAATTAACATGTTTGGTTGTTCTAGTGGCCGGGGCTTTTCTTAAAATTATCGATAAGCTTTGTATCACCATTTTAAAAGATTTTCTAAAAATCACTAACCAATCTTATTTCTTAGTACTTAATTCACAGTCCTTAAATCATATTTCTTCATTTGGTGTGACGATGAAATGGTCATCTATATGATCTATCTCCCAGAAGTGTATGGCATGTAGTTGTATATAGACTATCTTTCAGAAGTGTTAATGACATGCTGTGAAAACAGACCATCCTTTAGAGGTGACGATGAAATGTTGTGAAAACAGGCCAATTTTTTCGAAATGTCGATGAAATTAGCATTTCGGTGGAGTTTTTTTTATAACACTTGAATTGTGCTAGAAATGAACATTTCGGCGAAGTTTTTTTAAACACTTCAAGGAAAGTGTTAGAAATGAACACTTTAGAGGAAGTGTACACTTCATTTCGGTACGGGAAAGCAGACCATGACAAATCTCACCTTTTACGGAAACTTTTTTCAGAGATGTCTGACTAGACTCTGAAACCGCCTCTACAGACTGTTGATTGTTCACACGGGACTCCTGTATTTCTTTATAGAGTTTTTCAATTAGTTCTTTTTGGCGTTTTATTGTTTCCAATGCCGCTGCATGTTCTTCTGGGACAAGCTCGCCAGTTTGTTGTTCGATCGCCATTTGTGACGATTCCGGGGCTTGGCCAGCATCTGTTTCTTGTGTTACACACCCCGTTCTCTTTAGACTTTTGAATCCCAACGTCCTCTCGGGTGTCCTGTTTAGTTCATCGTCTTTAGTTTTGCTTATCTCAGTTGATTTCCGTTTCCTACATTTATCTGTTATTGACATATTTTGGGGATGTTTTACAGAGATCATTTAGATAATATAGTCGACCTGGAATAAAACAAAAGATGATTATTGAATAAACAAGAATAGGGTGTTTAGACAACTGACATGGTTCAAACAAAACACAATTTGAATAGAACGATCTTTAGAACAACTAATATCACCCCTTAGTTCTAGCCCTAATATCACCCCTTACTACTAGACCTATATCACCCCTTACTATTAGATCTATCTAGCCCTAATATCACCCTTTACTATTAGATCTATCTAACCCTAATACCACTCCTTACTATTAGATCTATCTAGCCCAAATATCATCCCTTACTGTCAATTCTATCTAGCCCAAATATCACCCCTTACTATTAATTCTATCTAGCACTAATATCACCCCTTACTATTATTCTATCTAACCCTAATATCACCCCCTACTATTAATTCTATCTAGCCCTAATATCACCCCTTACTATTAATTCTATCTAGCACTAATAATATCACCCCTTACTATTAATTCTATCTAGCCCTAATATCACACATTCAAATTAATTCTATCTAGCCCTAATATCACACCTTACTATTAGTTCTATCTAGTCCTAATATCATCCTAATATCACCCCTTACTATTAGTTCTATCTAGCCCTAATATCACCCCTTACTATTAATTCTATCTAGCCCAAATATCACCCCTTACTATTAGATCTGCACAAAATATCACCAGACCTAATACGCCAAACCCACCCCTCCCCATCTAACTACAATAGATTATATTATTTCTCTATCGCATCTAGCTCTAATATGGCCCAACTACTATATTTTTTTTTCTATTAGATCTAATTTCTCTATAATTTAGAGCCCTAAAATCACACCTTACTATTAGATCCAGCTCTAAAATCATCCTTACTATAAGATCTAGCATATGAAAAACGAGTAGCTTGTTTTCGTTTTTCGCCAATATCGAAAATTGAAATAATTATTTTACGTCAATATCTAAAAACGAGTAGATTATTTTTCGTTATCAAGGAATAACGAAAGATAGGTTGCTAGGCAACGAAACATACGCTCACAGCAGCTAAATCGTTCGGGCAGTCAACAAGAGTTGTCGCATATTTTTACATTTTTCGTTAACAAAACATTTATAATACACTAAAATCTGATTAATAGTAACAACCCATCAAGTAATTATCAGAAAATCATTAGAATTTGTTTGGCTTTTATAAAGTTCTGCCCCATGCTAACGTTTAGTATACGAAACATTTAATATTATGGATTTAGCTGCCCAAGTTATCAAAATTCATTGAAAATCTTAAGACCTTAAACTCTAAATTCAATCTAAAGTCAATCGGATGATAAGTTTAGCCTCTACTGGGTCACAATCATTAGGGTTCTTCGTCTCAAAACCCCAAACACTGCGTATAAATTTCAAATTAATCGGATATTAACTTTAGCCTCTAGGGCGTCCACAAGCAATTGTGGACACCGGACCGACGGACGGACCGAGGGACGGGGGCGACGACAATATACGACCACATTTCAATGTGGTTGTATAAAAACGAATATGCCCAATACACTACTAGAGACATAGGTCACTGTCTTACAGTCTTTATGTCATCAATATGACGTCGCAGAAGTAAGATATGAATAATTAACACAAGTAAACTAGAAATAAAATAGAGAAGATGCGTCAACAAATGGCGGAGATCTAGGTAATAGTGACGTAATGAAATGTTTCCCTATAAACAAAAAGCCCTAGTTTCGGTTTAATACCACACCCCTGGATATACATTTTACATATACTGCACGCTCGACTTGTCATCATAGTCAGCTAGATGTATTTCTGTGGATTTGTGCTCCTGGTATAGTTTGTTCAGTAGGGAGGACCTTGTAGCGGAACTTTTGGCTGCAGCCCTATAACTCGTTATTCGCCAATATTAAACCGGAGTGGATATTCGCCATTGCCTCGAGCCATAAGGATGGTTATTCGCCATTCGTTTTATATAATAAACCTAACATTCTTGCAGATTGTTTGTGCTTACACTATAAACCTCAAAATGCCCCGTTCGGCATTTCTGTCCAAACGAGGCAAAAACGTGTCAAAAGTTTTGCCCGATTTTGCCTCGTTGTAACGAGGTAAAAAAAATACCTCGTTTCTCTGGAGTTCCAAAACGTGGTTTTTTAAACTGCCCTGTTTTTGGAACGAGGTATTTTGTTCAGAACGAGGCTGGGTAAAATTGCCTCGTTTACTAAACGAGGTATTTTATCCAAGATAATTATTAGCGGTATTTGCTGTCAACAAATAGAGCCATACAAATAATGTTCGGACCATCATGTGACCAATTGCAGATCTACATATTAGATTATTTATTTGGGACATGATATTGTTCATAGTTATGGCTTACTACACTGGAGTTCTATTATGTATAATAAACGCTTCCCGAGCGAAACAAAACATAACAATGTCACGTGACAATATTAAATATGGCGGATACAAGCGTTCTTTGATTACATGCTGTTTGGTTTGATTATTAAATAATACGGCAATCTGTATTTATGGGAAAAGGAGAATGAATTTCCCCAAATCCAAAACTAGATGACTGATATATTTATTGAATGGAAAGTAAATATTATATAAACAAAAATATTCGGATTTGCAGTTTTCTAGCTTGGATGGATTTGTGATTTGAATCTCGAAATCAGTGTTTTATACATTTTATTATAAAATTGTAATAAATGTTTTACATGAATGAATAAAAGCTACAATTTAAAACAGTACAATAACATTGTGATTTGACGCTCTACAAATCACTAAGAGTATAACAATTGCTTGTTGAAAAAGCGTTACTAATATGTTTTTTTCCAATGCAGCAAAACCTACTGGACTGTTGTACTTAACTTATTATTTTTTAAAAATATATTCAAAAAGAATGCGTCTTTTACAGATTTCAATATAATCACAAATGGTTGATTGTTTTAATGCTAAGATAAGTATTAATGGTTTGTATTTGAAAATCAAATTATATAAGCGAAAAATAGTAAGATACATTATGTATATCTTAAAACACGCCCTTCTCATTTACTACTTCGGCGAATATCATTTGATAATTTAGATGATCAGAATTAAACACCGTTTTGCTATGTTATTATTTTTTTATGATTTGGTGGGGGTATACTAAATTAGGGGTGTTACGGCAGAATGCCGTTTCCTTTCTTATTTAGTCCAAGTCTGTAATTTGAACGTAACGTAATCCAAATCCGAGTTTCATACTCAACCAGTATTAGCGAACGCCATTGATGTGCAGAAAAACGGCATGTGTTTTAGAGACCATGCAATTCTAACGCCTGTTACCCTCTCACAAGTTGTAAGTTTACTTGAGAATTATGTAAAAGTGTAAACAGATATCGCAGATCATTTTCATATTATTTTTATTCACTGTCAAGTCATAATTCTGTCAAATTTAACGATTTACTTTCGGGTGTTTTTTCCCCACGCAAAACCGATATTGCTTGTGTCACGTGAGTGCAATTTCCTCGTCTGCTACATGTTAGTTTGTATTCCTTGATAGGTGATGCATTCCATATTATGAGTCGTTTTAGTGCCAGCATCACTCATCAATACTTATTATTTATTAGTTATGTAGAACGTATATGTTATAGAGTTTATTGTAAATACATGCATGTGTATTTTTATCTTTTCAGTGAAACCGTTCTTCGTTCTCTCTTTCATCACACAATCATCCAACGTTCATGTATTCAGTAACGTATATATACCTACCTTCATTGTCATCATAATGAACGAGTTTATCAAACATGGGTACAGGAATAAACGAATAAGGATTGATTTTTCTACTTCTTTTTTTTATTTTTAACGAACCGTCATTGCAGGAGCAATATTTAGTTTCAAACTTTCTTGAACAAATGTTTGATAATTTGTGGTTTACCGTCGTTATATAAACAATGTCTAAAGCAGTGTTTGACTGGCTTGATGATAGCCCTAGTTGGTTAGAATCAGGAAGAACGATAGACAGTAATTCAAAGATAAATAAAGGATTGATAATTCAGGATGATCAAGTATCGGTGACGTCTTGAAAGCCTTCCTCAAGAAGTATTAAAGGGGATGTTGCTAAAGAAAGGGCTCGACAAGCGGGACTTGAGGCGCGAGCTGCAATGTTAGTAGCAGAACAGCAATTACAACAGCAAGAACTTGAATTAAAAGCTCAACGAGATCGTTTATAGCTCCAAACCGAACTTAACATATCTAAAGCTAGGGAACGTGTGCTTTTAGAAGAGATCGATATGGATGAGCCCTTGCGGCCAACTCCTGTTTTGCCACCCGATGTTCATATTTCGTCAACGCCATATCATATTCCACTTCCAAATCCTCCGCCGCCTAGTCTGCCTAATCTTCCTAAGTCACAATCAGATACAGTGATGTGAAAGATATTGTGAAAACGCAAATTGAATTAATTTTGAATCAGCAACGTTGTAGCTTATTACCCAAACCTGAAATTACAAAATTTGATGGTGATCCTTTAAAATATCGAACATTTGAAAAGGCCTTTGAAAATCGAATAGAAAAATATGCTATGGATGACACCGATAAACTGTACTACTTAGCTCAATTCACATCTAATGATCCTAATGATTTTGTAAATAGTTGTCTTCACATGGAACCTACTGAAGGCTTTCAAACTGCTAAAAATCTGATCAAGAAAACCTTTGGTAATGATTTTAAAATTACACAAGCCTATATTAACGAGCTGTTGAAGTGGCCACAAATGAAACCAGAAAATCTACGATTATTGTGGAAGTTTTCACAACAAGTCCTTACATGCTTGAATGCTAGTACCGATATAAGCTATCTAAATGATTTGAACAATCCCCAAAATCTGAGGTGTCTTATGGAAAAGTTACCCTTTTCTATGAGAGACAGATGGCGTAGAAAAGCACATAATTGCCAAATTAATGAAAATCGAGAAGCAAGATATAAAGACTTTGTTGAATTTGTTAACTACGAAGTGGACGTCATGACTGATCCAGTGTTTGGCAGAACTCTA